TGGTTTAGAAGCCAAACATGGAATGCACTATAGTGTCACTTGGAATAGGGAAAGATGTTGAAGCAGAAAAGTCAATGCGAGCAGCGATGCCCAACTGTGAATTCTGGGGTGCTGATCCTGTCCTAGAAACCAATGCCGACATCTTTCCTGAGGTACGAACTTGCCGCTGTGTCATTAAAATATTTCACAGTTCTTCTATCTCAGGTTGGGAAATTCTACAACATTGCTGTTGGTGCTGAAAATGGGACCTTCAGATCGTACGTGCTGGAGGGTGAGTCAAGCATGCAGCTTTTGAAGATCTGTTTTTCAAAAATAATTAGCTTAATATTCACAAGTTAAAGTTAAATTCATAGTAAAAGAAAAAACTAGTATACAAATAAAAACCACAGAAATCGGACATCTGAATTAGAAGTCAAATTAGGAAGAAACACTTGTACTACTCAACGCAGGCGGTCCCTCCCTGATGGTCGCTCTGGGGTACCCGACAGGAGACCCGTCGCGCGGCAAGAAAAGGGTGGGCGGTTGCCGCGACGGGCCTCCTGTCAGGTACCTGCTCTAGTGCGTCCCACACCAACCGCACACATTCAATTAATGCCATACCTCGGTGCATGATAATTCGAAGTTTTAGACATATATCGATACCAAGAGGTGAAATACATCGACATAGCTACCTTTCTACGACACTACGTTCAAAGATCAGTAATCGACCAGCTTATGATTCGATATCGAGCATGCTGAATATCCGATGCTACCATTTTTACTACTGGATGGCCAGTTGGCACGTGACAACACAGTAATTTGTCAAGTGCGTGAAAAATGCATCTCTTTGTAAGTTGGATTCATTTCAGTTGCACGAGTGAAAGACATTTGCAGATGAACATCGAAGTACACAGACCTAATGCCGAACAACTAAAGCAGTTCTTTGATTTCTATCAACAGTTGATGGAGGAAAAGCAATGGACACTGATGAGCGCGTCGTCTATCATTGGACATTTGAGGTACTGTACTGTATACAAATCGTTCAAAGGTAACACACGTGCTTACTCAAACAATCTTATGTGTATCTCAATATATTGCTCGACATTTGTCCATCACAGAATTGACTTGTGTGGGAGTTACCACTTAGAAAGCTCATAGATGTTAAAACTGGACTTGACATACTTCTGGTATCTGAAAACCAGAAATCATAGGCCATTGGCCGCTTACATTCCCATGTACACTGGTTTACCAAAACTCATTGCACAGATATAGATGAAGTTATAACTTGAAGCAACAGTCCCAGCAGGGTGGGCGTGGTCGGAAACGACTGCAATCCCCTCGGCCGATTCCGACCACGCCCACTTCAGCTCCTCCCTAGCGGCTTTCCAAGGTGAGTTTTTGTTCAGTCACACTTCTTACGTTCTTGACTAGGGGCTGAACAGCTCCGAAGTGGGAATCGGCCGAGGGGATTGCAGCCGTTTCCGACCACGCCCACCCTGCTGGGACTGTTGCTTTCGAAGGAGAGTTCGTATAGACGTTCAACGGTCCTTTTCAATTGCTCTGTACTACTGTAGCAGCTTTTTCTATGTCATTTGAAAACTTACCTTTGAAAGGCGTTGGAAGGGGGTCTAACGATTTCAAAGTGGGCGGGCCTACCGGGCCCCGGTACGGACGCCCACTTGCGGTCGTAGAGAATGCGTGAATTGGGCTGCCGCAGAACTTGCGAGACATGTTCCGAACCCCGGGGCTTTTGGCGCTCGATTCTCTGACATCGATGTCGACTCAAAGCCTGGACTAGAACTTCGACTTCCAAAAGGTTGGGAGCGCTCCCTATTCTGAGGCATGGGTGTTCAATTGCAATTGCTGGCAAATAGCCATAATATTGCTGGCTATTTGCCAATATGGCTATTTGCCAGCAGTTGCAATTGGAGCGCATTTACTGCGGGCAGGTTCGGACAACTCGTCCAACACGCGTCTTCCCTCATCGCTAAGCGGCAGAGGGGAGTCCCTGTTAAAGCCCTGTTCGACGTTTTTCTTCAGTTTTTTCTTTACTATCGTTAACTTTTCACCACAACTACATTATCAATGGTTTTCACCAAGCGAATTCAGTCTAGAATTGTTGCTTTGAAGGCACAACCCAGGCAGAGGTCGTGTGAACGCTTCCCTTCGGTCTGTAGTATAGACCCCTAGAGGACAAATGTGGCGTTCCCGTGCACGGAAACCAACCGACAAGAGCGCTTGGGCCTTGCAAAGTAAGCTGCTGAAGCTGCAGATTTTTTCTCTTATCAGGCTGTTGTCTGGCGCTCTCTCATCTGTAGCGCTCTCTCGCCTCATACTCTCCTCTCCGCGCTTAGTCTCTCATTCCCTTAGCACAGATTAGGGTGAGTGAGCCCTTAACCTGAGCGTTTTCGACGGATTCTTTTCCTTTTTTCTTACTGCCGGCCCATTTCGCACCAATACATTCGCATTCGTGTGCAAGAGCCACACCAAATTATCCTTGGGGCATGTCTTCGAGTTTTGCCCACCAGTGTGGTTATATCTCGTGCTCCAGGGCTATTCGCATGCACTGTAGAGAAATAGTGTACAAATTACCAATAGCTACACTATTGGTGAAGTAGTAACTATACAGGGGTGGCCAAAAAAGAGACACTTTGCCCATGGCGCACATCATCGAACTTTTCGTCGCACAGGGTGCCGATGTTAATGAAAGTTTTACGGCGGAATATTCCTTAGGTGTTCCCCGTAAACAGAAGCAGGCCCTCCTTCACTGCCCCCGCCGTCTTCAGAATATGACGTCATCTGCCGCCACCGTCGAGCTCAACGAGGCTTACCGTAATCGCTCCGGCCTGAAGCTGCTACATAATTTCTTCAATGGATTAACTGTTGAATAGCTTCCCAGAGACATTAGCTGTGACTATGCAAAATTTAGCAAGGTGTAATTAATGCTGTCTGAAATGTGGAGTGAAGTGTCTCTTTTTTTGGCCACCCCTGTATAGAAATTCTTCAAAATGTTGGTGGAT